TCAATGAGATGAATTGACATAGTGGCTGCAACAGTGGGTTCAAATGTACTATGAGGATTGTGTAAGACTGAGCAGTGTTTCTTCTGTTGTTCATAAAGTCATTAGGAGTTGGAACTGACTTGTCAGCACCTAACAACAATTTTTTGTTAATTGTTTGTTTTGTATAGATCTTCCTATACATCTTCTGTCTACTCGATAGCAGTGTGTCTGGTTTGGCTTTTGGTATATATCTTCTAGTTCATGTAGTTATCTTTTCATAGAAATGTGGTATTTCATTGTACTGTTTAATCAATCCCTAATTACTAGGTTTTTTTCTTGCTAATAGAAATGCTTTAAGCAGCTTGGCAGAAATATGTGTTTCTGAGTGTGTGTCTGCGTGTGTTTGTTTGAGTTTCTTTGGGTTATATTACGGAAATGATAACATTTTAGTAATGACACAGTAATGAACAGTCAAAAAAGATGCAGTTCATTAACCATTTTTCCTACATATTTTCAGGTTCTCATATATTATTTTATATGACCACTCTAAAATACAAAGTATATATCAAATGCAAGAATATGTTTGATTCCCAGAGCCTCATCATCATTTGATTTTATCATTTTTATTTATTTATTTATTTATACTAATTTACCAGCTATGGAGTATTACTTTCTATCCCTTTTTCTCTAAATTTCTTTTTGTACATTTTTTAGAAAGTTAGAAATACAGAAAATATAAAGCTATCCCAGCACCTGGAGCGATCACCCAACTCCTTCTACTTATATTGTTTTCCTTAAATGAGTTCTGTGGTTTCGAATAGGGTCCCTGGAGAAAGAAATGTTGCTCTCTTTGTAATTTGAGAAATTAAGATCAAATTTTATCTGAAGCCCCACCCCCCTCAAAAAAAAAAAAAAAAAAACACCTTCACATAGTTTATAGCAGGGTCCCATTTTCCCCTAAAAGCATCTCTTCCTCTGCCCTTTACCTTTGAGGGACTAGAGAGTCACAGGATCCCTAGGTGACAAACAATTAAGCACTTGATTACTACTTGATGGAGGTTTGCACTCACTCAGAGACACCTTCCAAGGCAGTCTGTTTCCAAAAGGTCACAGCCTTGAAAACCCTATAAAGCAGTTCTACTCTGAACGCACAGGGTTGCCATGAGTCTGAATGGCAGTTAATAACAACAGAGAAAAGGAAGGTCAAAGTCTAAAGGTTGAAGAAAAGGAAGTGTCTGAGGGAGGTAAGAGGCTAGGCTTTCAGTATTAGTATTAGTCTTTAACCTTTCAAATGTTAAAAATCAACTTTTCAAAAGAATATTTCTTGAAAATAGTGGTGGAGGAGACAGAAAGACTGCTTTATTACTTGACTATTTGGAAACTGGCTTATATCTTTAAAAAAAGAAATTATACATCTGTATCTGTACATGTTGGTGCATTTGGTTTATGGATTTACAGAGAATATTTAGGAGGTATTCACACAAGAGTTTTAGTCAGCTGACAGGAAAGAGGACTTGTGGGATGGGGTGAAGCCAAGCCTAAAGAATTTCCAGAAAGTCTTCAAGTGTCTTGTCTTCTCTTTCTTCTCTTAATAGATTATAACAATTAAAGCTCCCACAAATGTCTGAGTAAAAAGGGTTGAATGTGGGGAAAAAAATTGTCACCGAAGGCTCTTTTGGCGTCTGAATTCCTGTTTTTCTTCTGCCTGTGTTCTTTTCCGTGCTTGAGAAATACCGAAGGAAACCCCTCCTTCTTCCTGTACCTCGGATCACCACTTGTAAAATGAGGATCATGAAATCCATCTTAAATGCATTTGAGATCTTGTTGTTATTAATATTTGAATGGTTTGGAGGTTAAAAAGTATTAAATAAAAAAAGTTCAGTGTTTCATCTGGAATCTTGTTAAAGCCATCTTGTCTCAGAGCTGTGGTCCTCCTCAGAACTGGTGACAGAATAACATTGGTTTCCAGAGACACTTGTGTTTTTCTCTAAGACCAAATGACTTTGTACATTTTTGCAGTACTTTGAAAAAAAGAACATATTTCAGAGTACTGATAACCTCATGAACCAGAAGACTTTAAAATGATGCTTATTTTATTTAACCTGGCAATTTAAATAAAAAGCTAGAAAAGAGGGAAAATCAGAAGCTTTCTGTGCATCTAAAACCAAAGAAAGCCCTTTAGGCTGTCAGACCATATGTTCTGGTCTTAAATGACTTTGCTCCCAGCAATATCAAGTGCAGGGACTTTGTTTGGGACAGAGAGGGGTGTATGACTAGCACTACCGACAAAAAAACTGAACTCTGCAGGTTGTAACATATAACACATACTCTTGAAATTGTGCTTGAACTTTACCTTTGACAGAAAGTAAATATTTGAAATATTGCTCCAGTCTTAAGAATGCAGAGCCCATTCCCTTTTGATTTTAAAACAATTTTTTTCCCCTAGGTTTTCTCCCTTTTGAGTCCTGAAATTCTGATTTTATAGTGATCATCTTACAGTGCAGCAGCATTTGGAATAAATCTGTGGAATTTCCTTTATTTGAATGATCAGCAAATGAAAAATGTGTTGAAAACAAAAATATGTGGATAGAGGGTGTCCTGCCAAACCTAATCTTTCCCTTGGCTGGTGACTTTCAATTCCAGACAGGACCTGCGTCTGTAGCAGGAATATGTTGTGAGTCATATAGATGAGGTTGATGTCGGTACAACTGAGCTGAGTATGATGTGGCAAGGTTAGAGTCACTACAGCTTATTTTGGTTTTTATTAAAATAGATTTAATTAATAGTTTATTTTGGTTTTCAGTAAAAATAGATTTAATTACTAATGTGAATAGCAAGGTTGACTGGAGATAAATTATATTAAACATACTGAATTTGCAGGAAACAATATTCTTATTTAAGGAGTCTTGGTAGCACAGTGGTTAAATGCTCTGCTAACTATAAGGTTGGTGGTTCAAACCCACCAACCGTTGCAAGGGAGAAAGATGTGGCAGTCTGCTTCTACAAAGATTACAACGTTGGAAACACTATGGGGCAGTTTTACCTTGTCCTATGGTTTTTATAGGGTTCCTATGAGTCAGAATCAATTCAATAGAAAGAAGCATTTTTTATTAGTGTACGGTACAAATTACTTGGCTCAATTTCTTAAGTGGCATGTTTTCTATCTCCAAGGGAGGTTAAAAAAAAACTTTTTTTGGGGGGTAGAAGTGATAGTTTCACCTTCTTAAGCTTTACTATTGAGTTGATGAGCTATTGAATATAAAGGTTTAATGACCATTAATATTGAATTCAGAAGTGTGCCAAGGTTTCGGGAGCTCTAGTGGCATAGTGTCTAAGGCATTTGACTGTTAACCAGCAGGCTGGTGGTTCAAACCCACCAGCCGGTCATTGGAAGGAAGATTGGGCAATCTACTTCCATAGAGATGTCGTTGTTGTTGTTGTTACGTGCCATTGAGTCGGACCTGACTCATGTACCACCTTGGAAACCCAGAGGGGTCGCTATGAGTCAAATTGACTCGACAGCAGTGAGTTTGGTTTGATTATCATGGGATTACAGATCTCTCTCTCCTGCTTCAAGTTACCTAGAAATAAATTGAGATTTGAATGATAGGATCTGCTTGAAGGCTCTCATTACAAATTGAACAAACATAGTATACCCTGTGGGAGCTCTGGTGGTGTAGTGCCTAAGGCATTTTATTGTTAACCAGAAGGCTGCCAGTTCAAACCCACCAGCCACTCTGGGGAAGAAAGTTTGGGCAATCTACTTCCGTAGTGATCCCACCTCAGAAATCCAAAGAGGGGTTGCTGTGAGTCAGATCCAACTCCACGGCAGTGAGTTTGGTTTTGGATTAGTTAATATACCATGTACATATGTTATGTCTGGGAACATTCTCTGACACTAAGTGGCTTTCTCTTGAGTTACTTTTCCAGTCTTAACAACTATAATTTATAACTTTAATTGGAAGTCTACCCAAGATATGAGGGGAATAAATGGAGCGATTTACAGAAATCATGAAGTATTTAAAGTATCTGTGTCATCCACTCTTCTGGAAATATGTGGAAGGAAAGTCACCATCTCTGCCCTTAGCGAGCTTACAGTCCACTGGAAGGACAGTCACCCAAGCGTTTGATAAGCATCGCAATGGGTGTGTGACCAGAAACATGGCGATGAGGAAGAGCTATCCAAAATTATGTAAGAGAGGTAAGGTGAGCTTCCCAGAGGAGATTTCACTTCAACTGAGCCTTGAAGGAACAGACATTTTTTAAATAACAGAAGGATGAAAGTGTGATCTGGGTGGAAGGAACCTCATTTACAATAGCATGGACTTCACAAGTAGTTTGCTTTTTCTGGAGGTAAAGGGTGAGGCAGAAGATACCCAGAGAAGAGGCTGGATAAGTAGGAACCAGGTCTAGAATGGATCTTCTATGATATACTGAGCACTTTGGATTTAATTCTAGGAGTGTTAGGGATTCCTTGAAGAATTTTGAACAGGAGAGTCACGTAATCATATTTGTATTTTGGGGTAATTAACTTGGCAGCAGCATAGAGCCTGAACCGGAAAGTGCAGAAGAAACAATTAGTAAGGTAATGGCGTAGTCCAGGCAAAAGCTGATGACTATGTGAACCAAGGCAGCAACAGCAAGGATAAAGTGAGATGGAAAAGGGAAACAGCAGGTATCACCATTGGGACTTGGCAGTTTGGAGGTGTTAACGTGCCATTGTCATGTGGGATTCCCTTCCAATAACTGTTTAAATTACAAAACTTGCTGACTGAGCAATGATCATTAATATAGAACATTACCTATATAGAGTTATTTTTTCCTTAGGCACTTGGGAATATGTAATGCTTGATGTTTATAATAGCCTAAAAAAGTTCTGTGGAACATAAAAACAAACATAAAATGTAATCTCTTCTGGATTTTATTAATAAAGGAGATTTGCAAGTCTCTTTCCTGAACATTGCATCAAGCATTTCCATCTTCTCTGCAGACTTTAATTTTGGGTTTTGTTTTCCAAACAGATTCTTCAAGCCCAGAGCCGAGGTGCAGGTGGAAGAAGAATTTCTGAAAACAGCTATTCTTTCGATGACTTGGAAATCGGCCCAGGTGAGCAGAGAGTTCGTGTGTATGAAGGCCTCTAGAAAGTGCTCATTAGCAGCAAGGCCTTTTGGCCTCAAGGCCAATGCTTTTAAAAGAAGAGTGGCAATGAAGCATTATGCTCTTAAGAACTATCTCTATGAGATCAAATTGGCAACAGCAACTGGAAAGATTAGATAGGATTCTCAGGGGGCAGTGAGTTTAAGTTAATGAGGTAGGAACACCTCAGAAAAGGAGGGTGAGAATGGTTGCACAACTCAAAGAATGATATCAAGGTCCTGAACTGTACATGTAGAAATGGTTGAACTGGTATATGTTTTGCTATGTATATTCTTAACAAGAATAAGAAAATAAAAATTTTAAAAATTAATTTAAAAAAAAAGAAGAGTGGTAGAAATTAGAAGGAAGTCTATCTTAGATACCAGCCATTCCCAAATCACATTGCTCTCCACAAATAGCTGCTCTGTATTTTTAGTCCATCTTTGTCAATGATAATCTGTGGTAACCAAGGTGTACCTTTCAGATGTTGCAAGCGAAGTGCTACAGAGAGTTTTGGCTCCCCAGTCATCTGGGGCTGGAAGGCTTCCATATGTGGACAATGTCCCCTATCAAGATTGGTTATCCTGTATTACCCAGTGGTACCATATGTCGTTAAAGCAGAACTACTATGTTTAGAAAAGGGCATCTACATGTACTTCACAAAAGAAAAATATATGTAATTAAATACAAGAAGATCATCAGCCTCCTAGTAATCAAGGAAATAAGAAATGCAAATTAAAACTGCATTGAGATCTCGTTTTTGCACATGTTAAATTAACCAAAATTTTAAAATATGTACTAATCATGGTAAGGGGTTCTCCTTTTAATGTTAGGAAAGTGAGTGAATATTATCTTATAAGTGACAATTACATTTTTTATTTCTTTCTTTGTACTTGTAATGGAAGAAATTTACCATTAGATTGCAATAGCCCAACATTTAGAATCTTGAAACCATTTGAATTGCATTTTATCTTCTCATGAAGTGTGTTATTTGCATGCTTTCAGGTCAGTTGTCATCGTCTGCATTCAACTCAGAGAAAAGTGAGAGTAGGCGAAATCTGGAGCTCCCACGCCTGTCAGAAACCTCCATAAAAGATCGAATGGCCAAATACCAGGCAGCTGTGTCCAAACAAAGCAGTTCCATCAACTATCCAGTATGTGTTCCACATCATTCATTTATTTTACATCCAGTGAAAGGTCGCTGAGCACTAGAAGTAGAAAATGTCTTCCAGACCCTTACCTTGGAGCCCTGGCTCATCCTTAGTTCCCTGATGATTATGTTTCATATAAACCCTACCCTAGCTTCATTGGGAATCTTGACCATGTTCTAGTCCTTAATTTGCTTTCCTAGGCATCATTCCTACCCACTCATTTTTGTGTGTGTTTGGTGTTACCATCCAGTAATGTCATTGAAAATTTTCCTGGCTTTTCAATTTAACCTTTTTTGCTTTATTTTGTTAAAGAAGAAGTATTTTATAAGTTTTAACAGAAACACTCATTTACCTTTGGTTTTTGAGGGGATAATGTAAGAGAGAAATATTGGATGTATTTAACATTACTGTAGAGACTTTTTGCAATATTTAAGATAATTCTTACAAAATTCACCATTTGAAAGTATACACTCAGTAATTTTTAGTATATTCACAAGGCTGTACAACTATCATCATATCAATTCCATAAAATTTTCATCACCCCAAAAAAGAAATCCCAGGCCTGTTAACAGTCACTCCCAATTCTTTCCTTCCTTCATCTCCTGGCAACCACCAATCTACTTTCTGTCTTTATGGATTTACCTATTCTTGATGTTTCATATAAATAGAATCATAGAATATATGGTATACTTAATCTTTCATCCCTGTTATGTAATGATTTTCTAAAGAAATAGAATAGTGGATAAGAAGGAAAGAAATGACAGAAAGATGACGTGCTCATTAAGCACAAAAAATGGTTAGGTTCCAAAAGACCAGATCATTATGCAAAAATCAGCATTATGGAAAAATGGAAGGTGACCACATCAGATCACAAAATAGAGAATGACTATGTCATTACCTACCAAACCACTGAGAATAATGAATGGCCCCGTCAAGCTGACACATAACCTTAATTATCACAGTAACATCATTACTCTAACCTTACAGCATTGGTTATTGCCAGACGTATATTGTTAATGCACAAAATAGTCAATTGCTAGATTTTTCACTATTGTTATAAATGTGAAATGTCAGATAAGAAGACAATAAATGAGGAGTAGGTGTAGAATGGACAGTTTCTTTGTTTTGTATTCTCCTAGGCTTAACTGGCAGGCTGACAATATAGAACTAATTAATTGAAGTTACCTTTTCAAAAATACCATTTATTCATATATGCACACATCCATGTATATGTGTCTTTCAAATTTTTGTTCTTTTTAAGATTCCAAATTACAAACTATTAATCTCTTGGTGTCCTAATTTTTTTTTAACAAATTTGGAAGAATAGTATTGAATTTTACTTGTTCCCATGCAAACTGAAAACTGGTGCATATTGGAAATCATAATGTGTGTTCCAGGAGTTAAGCCTTCTTTTCTCCACATTATTAACTATGCATTCTCCCGTCCCACTGGTGGACTAATTCTCCTGACAATGAATAATTTCATCATGGTTTTTCACTGTGGTTTTAAGAGGAAATGATGTGTGTAAATCAGTAACGAAGTAGGCCGTCACAGGCTCATTATTCACCATGAATGTGAAAAATGAGCAAACGTAGCCCTCTCTGAGAAGACAGGTCAGGAGATACAGTGAGTAGGTGATCTGTGGAGCTTAATTCCCTTTTGCTACCAGATTTTGCTGATTTTCAGTGCCCTCCTGCTGCAAACATTCCAACCAAGTGACTCCCTAAATGGAAAAACCTGTTCAGTGACTCCCCGCCCCCCGCACCCAATAGAGTTTCTGCATTGCAGTTCTTCTGCTGTACGAGTTCAAAAGTCTTTAGGAATTCTTGTAAAAAGTACATTTTATCTCATCCCAAAAGAATTTCTCAGGCTCCCTATAGAATATGGTTGTAAGAAAGCATACACCCTCTGGCAGTAGTTCTGGAGGCTGGCTTTGAGATAGGCTCAGGAATGAGTTGGGCTGTAATGTGTCCTTCAGTGCTGGCTGCTAGCACCTCCTCATAGATGCACCTCCAGGAACTGTGGGCCTTAATATGGAATGCCACACCTGAATAAGCCAGTCATGCTCACAATCCCTTCATGGGCTCTTTGGCCATTAATTGCTTAATTGCTTCTTCATGCCTAAGGATGTGCAGAGAACAGAAAGGTGCTAAATTACTAGATTGCTAAATTATTAGAGGACTCTGGTAGCATAGTGGCTAAGACACTTGCCTGCTAACCAGACGGCTGGCGGTTCAAACCCACCAGCCACTCCTCGGAAGGAAGGTTGGGCAATCCTACTTCCGTAGTGATAACTGCCTCGGAAACCCAAGGAGGGGTCGCTATGAGTCGGGGCCGACTCGACGGCACATAACAACAACAACAACAACAGGAAACCCTGAAACCCTAAAAAGGAGCTCTGGTGGCGTAGTGCCTAAGGCATTTAACTGCTAACCGGAAGGTTTGTTGGTTCAAATCCACCATCCACTCCACAGAAGGAAGATGAAACAATCTGCTTCTGTAAAGATTTACTGCGTTAGAAACCCAATAGGGGTCACTATGAGTTGAAATTGACTCAATGGCAGTGAGTTTGGTTTTGGTTTGGACAGGCAAACCCTATGGGGCAGTTCTGTTCTGTCATTTTGGGTCGCTGTGAGTTGGAATCAACTCGACACCACACACAGCAGATAGGAAAGAAGCCCCTGGGTGGTGTCCTGGTTACCTCAGCTGCTAACCAGAAGGTGGAGGTTCAAGTCCACCAGGCGGTACCTCTTCCTTCCAAAAAATTAACCACTGAAAAACCTGTAGAGCAGAGTTCTCCTCTGACATCCATGGGGTTGCCACGAGTTAGAGTTGACTCTATTGAAATTAGTTTAAAGGTAGGAACTGTCCATACTGATCTACTTATATGTTTATTTTAAGGAGGTCTGGTAGTGTAGTGGTGAAGGCATTTGACTGCTAACCAAAAGGTCAGCAGTTTGAACCCACCAGCCACTCCATGGAAGAAAGATGAGGCAGGCTGCTTTCATAAAGATTTACAGCCTTGGAAACCCAATGGGGGTCACTAGAAGTTGGAACCCAACTCAAGGGCAGTGAGTTTAGTTTGGTATATGTTTATTTTGGATCTAACAGATAGAGTTAATTTTCATATTCTGCCCCAACTGTCCATTACAAGAAAACAAAAATGATTGTGTTTACTCACTATGCAGTATTAATGCATGCTTTTTATGTCAAGGCTTTGTTATGAGGAGTAAAATAAGTTATGTTACTAGTAAAATGTATGAATTTTATGTGGAAAACATGTATTTTTTTAAAGTCCCACAGGAAAGGCTATTTTATGGTATCATTAAATATAAATTCTGTTTTCATATGTGCATCATCCCTGTCTCTTTTTCCAGGCCGGGCATTTATATATATGGTCAGTATATTTTCTTAATTATTGGCACTTGGCATCTCCTTTTCCCTGCTCCAGAATGGTCTTTTCTGATCAAACTCACAAGCTTTGCATTCCCACAAGCTCTGCTGCTAGAAGAGTAAATCACAAGAATGTGTTTGTCTGTGTTGTATGTGTGTACTCTAATGAGCATCTAGTTTTAGACTAGTGTACAAATATTTAACTCTGACACATGTGTCCACAAAGCTGCTTTTGTCATTTCACTAGTCTATGGGTTTTGCTTATGAAAGAAAGGTAGGGGGTTGATCTGACCTGAGGCCTCTTAAAAGAAAAATTATTTTAATGTCCCAAGTTTTCTTCATAGATATGCTATGAAGAGAATGGAATGGTGAGAATTAAAAAAAAAAAAAAAAATCCACAGGTTATTTTTGTTTTGTAGAATGACTTGAGAGCCAGTGGTGGTGAAATCAAAGCTCATAAATTGGAGCAAAAGGAGAATGTGCCTCCGGGCCCTGAGATCTGCATCTCCCATCAGGATGGAGAAAAGGTAGGTTAAAAAGTCTGATGTCCAGTTGCCAAGGAAGCATGTGTTCTAAATTAGATGCTTAAAATTAGAAACAACCCTAACTCTAGAGCTGTAGAGTGTCTGGGAATTTGGTAACAGCTGCCAGGACAGATTGTCATTTTTGCAGGTCACATAATTTCGGTTGGAGAGCTCTGAAATGTATAGCTGACCAAATAATGAGCCTTCATTGGAAAATTCTTTTGCTCAGCAAATGCTCAGAGGGCAGAGAGCAAAAATCTGTTTTGAAGAAAGATATTATCATCAAAGTACTTGTATAGTTTTAATTTAAGGTTGTATTTAACACGTTTTATGCAAGAAAATCTCATTCTTTGGTTCAAAGTATTTTGAAACCTAGGCACTGTGCTAAGCTTTTAAAAAAACCAAAGCATTCCATGTGGTATTTATCTGCAAGAAGCTAACAGTTAAAGGGAAGACAAGTAACAGGTTGGCCGTCGTAAAACAATAATGAGGGAATGTGCAAGGCCATAGAGACTCAGATGAAGCATGTGTAACCTGACTTCCTCTGGAAATAATGTGTGAGCTATGTCTAGAAGAATGTGTGCGAGTAGGCCAAGTGAGTAAGGGATGTGTTGAGTAAAGGAAAAGAAAGGCATTCCAGGCAGACACAACATGTGCAGAAATTTGGAAACCAGAGATCATGGCTTACTTAGGAACTGCGGGTTAGTTGGCTTGGCTGGTTGGAGCATGAGGTACATAGAGGCAGGGGTGAGAGATGGGTAGAGGGAAGAGGGCCAGGGTGAGGTCTTAGAAAGCTCTATTTGCCACTTAAGAGTTTGGATATAGTCCTGCAGCAGTGGAATGCCACTAAAGGAGTTTAAGGTAAAGTCCACAAAAGGGTTTGTATTTTATGCTTTAATCATTAGGTGAATGATGTAACAGTTTTTATGTCAGAATTTATCATTTTCTTTTCCAATCCAGTACCCTATCCTTTTGATCTTTCCATCAATATGATGATCAAATGTTAAGTGAGACGAGGAGAAAGGGCTTTCAAATCTATTATAGTGATTAATCTTAGGAAAGTTCATTGTCCCTGATGCCATTCTTCAAAAAGATGAGATAATTAAAATGAGTCAAGAGCAATAGTTCTCAAATTTACTTGACTTCAGCATTGTTATTTTTTATTTATTTTTTTACTACAACACATTTTGAAAAGTATGTTATATTGACAGAGTGCTAACAGGAACTTATGAAATACAATGTGCACTTGGATCAGAGTAGGTACACAGAAAAATAGCCTTAGATCAATGGCTCCAATATATGATTCGTAGAAGAGAACAGAAAAAAAAAATTAGAAAAATTAAATCACTATGTTGTAAAAAAAAAAAAAAAAAATTGCAAATGTATGTTAAAATAAGACAAATATTTGGCAGCCATGTATTACATAATCACGCGGTCATCAGATAAATTACAAACATCTTTGCAACAGTGGGTCTCGAATGAGTCGATAGATCACACGTTATGCATCAAGTACTCTCTCATTAGACTGCCTGGTTTTCTCAGGCTTGGCATGCCATTTTTTACATGGGAGACTATTAAGAGTAACTAAGTAAATACGTGTAGTATTTTTCTTAGTTTCCTAGTGCTACTGTAAATGAGTGGTTTCAACGAACCTGGAGGCAAAAATCCAAATCCAAGTCTCAGCCATGTTGATTCTTTCCTTGTCTTTAGCCCTGGGGCTTCCATTGCCTTTCTTGGCTTATTGACAGTCCTCACATGGCATCTGTCTTCCCCCATTTGTGCATACCTCTGTGTTTTATCCACTCAAAAATTTTTATAACTCAAAAATTATTAGATTTAGAACCCACCTTACTTGGTTGTGATTTGATTAACACAACGAAGAAAAGCCTGTTTCCAAACAGGATTATATCCACAAGTATAGAGGTTAAGATCCCAACACGTGTTTTAGGGACACACAGTTTAATCCATAATAGTATTTTTCTTACGTACCATAAAATAGAAATTTTAAGAGAAAAATATTCCCAGCATTAAAATTCCCGCATCCACCCCAGGCTGAGGCAAGCAGCATAGTTTAGGAACTAATCGTCTGGAAAATAATGCTTGGATTGCCCCTGTATCTAATATCATGTTTCCTTTGTGATTGTCTTCATGCTAATTTGAAACTGAAACTCTGAGCTAAACTGGAGATTCAGAACATTTTAATTATAGCCTAAAAGGGCATTAGTGCAACTGAATCACAAACTGGGGAGTGGGTGGAGAACAAGAATAAAGATAGTTCATATTCTTCAGGGACATACTGCAGGTTTATAAACCCACGATTGCCTAAAAATTCATAAGATTTTTCAAAACCTACTTGCCTTTTGGCTGTTTGCCTAGCTTTCGTTAATGAATACCTAAGCATTATTTGTGCTTTGGCTTTTACAAAAGGACATTAAGTCTAGGGCACACTTGCTTGAAATAGAATATTTTGTCGAGGCATTGTTTCTCCATTTCTCCTCTTGTGAATGAATTTCTGCTTTCCTTTATTGAAATGTTTGAGCAGATTCTCATGTGCTCTGTCCTGGCTGTTCCTGTAGTGAAGTCATCTGGTTGGGCATGAGTAATGATGTCATAATTGGTATTAAGTTTGCCCTGCAGGTTCAAAACAACCAAATTAAAGGTGAGAGAAGAACGCCCTGGGGTGGATGTACCTACTAATTAGCAAGAATTGAAGTGCTTTTTATGGCCAGGCAAAACTATCAAAAAATTTATTTTCTATCATTAAATGAGATAATGCATATAATGTGATTAGTCCGATACCTGGACTAATCAGTAAATGTTTGTATTATCTCATGTAGTTTATATTATCTCATGTCCAAATTCCTGTAATGAAAAGAGAATATTTGAAAAGCCAGCTGTGCTGAAGGACAAATATTGTATTAATCTGTTATTGTAAGAAGTCAAGGAAAGGTTTATCTATGGAAGGAAATTTTCTTTGTTGGTTTCTAGGAGTGGGAGGGGAGGGGCGAGAACACTGTTAGATAGGTAGAGACAAGTATTGATTTGGGTGACAAGAAGGGCAATGTACCATATGTGAGTGATCAACATGGTGGCATTGAGGAAGAACACATAGAAAGGTACACGAGAAGCACAGACAACAAAGATGAACCCTTTTGCACATACAGTACTGTGTTGTCAGTGAAGGCAAACATTGATCTATGGGTAGATAGATGGGTGGATAGGCTGAACTATTAAGTATGTCTATGCAGGGGTCAGTGTACCCATGACCATGATAGGGTTGGCAGACAGTGTTTCTACAAGTGTATTTGTAAAGGGACAAGGTTGTAGTCACTTCTTGGCCATAGCCAGCTACCCAGAGGGATTGTGTAGTTGGACCTGTGGGCTTGGGACCATGGTCACAGGGCACATCAAGCTCAATTGGCATAACATACTACAGAAAAACATTGTTCTATATGCTACTTTGGCGAGTAGCAACTGGGATCTTAAAAGCTTGCAAGTGGCCATCTAGATGCATTGATGAGTCTCTCCATGTCCAGAACAAAGAAGAATGAAGAAAACTAAAGATTCATGGAAACCATTAGTCCAAGCGACTGGTACACCATGCAGTCCTCAGCCTATATGACTATGAGACCAGAAGAACTAGATGGTGCCAGGCTACCACTGTCAACCACTCAGAGAGGGATTTATGTAGGAGATCCTGGATAGAGTGGGAGAACAATGTGGAACAAAACTCAGAATCATTTTACAAAAAGGGGGGGGGGACCAGATTTGCTGGTGTGATATACAGTCTGGTGAAACCACTGAGACTATGGCCCCTAGCTGCCCTTCAGGTCTGGAATTGAACCCACTCCTATGGCTTCCACCCAAACAAAAGATAGGCATATAAGCTGAACATTTACATTAGGTAGATATACTCCTTGGAGAGATCAATCATGGGAGAATAGAAGGTTGTATGTACAGGGAGACAGCTCAGGGGGCAGGAGTGCATGGAAGGGAAGGACACAGGGAAAAGGTAACTATGGGGAGGAAGTGGAGCCAGCTTTTGCATTGTGGGAAATTGCAGTCAATGTCATGAGATAAAGTGTATTGAGCTGCTGTATGGAAAATGAATATGCTTTGTACACTTTCACCCAAATCACAATTTAAAAAAAAAAAAAAAATTGTAATTCAGGTGTGGTCAGCCAACTCCACTGCAAAATTTATTCTTGATGTAAACACTTAACGTGGCCCCCCAAAATACCTCACATCTCAATTAAAGAATATTTCATGAAGGGTCCACATTGGTTCACCTATTGACCCTTTATGATTTTGGGTATGGAGGAGAATACAAGAATCTTAGTTCTCTAGTGCTGCTATAACAGAAGTACCCCAAGTGGGTGGCTTTAACAAACAAATTTATTCTCTTACAGTTTAGAAGGCTAGCAATCCTTATCCAGGGTGTGTTCTCTACGGGAAGACTTTCTATACCAGCTCTAGAGGAAGGTCCTTGTCTCTTCTGAACTTTTGCTGGTGGGCAGTCTTCATGGCATCTCTCTTCCCCCATCTCTGCTTCTCTCACTTGCTTGTTTAATGTCTTTTATATCTCAAAAGAGATGGACTCAAAACACACCTTACACTAATCCTGCCTCATTAACATAACAAAGACAACCCATTCCAAATGGAATTATAACTACAGTCACCAGGGTTAGCATTTACAACACCTATTTTTGAGGGACACAGTTCAGTCCATAAAAACAAGGAAGGCACAGAGACTGGAAGAAAGGAGGAGGGACAGAAGTAGAAGGAAGTTCTTTTACTTAAATTTTACGGCTTCTGGGAGAAAATGCATACCTTAACATAAAATCTGCAATTTTCAAAACACTGCAGTTTTGAGACTGGGTTTAAAAGGAGTTTCCCTTTCAAGGATAGTTTCATCCTTGAAGATAATATCTGAGGTTAGTTTTAGGTAAATTTGTTTTCTAGCCATCAAAACTCTGTACTGACATCCTTGTTTCATCAGAATTCATTTGGTTGGGAAATAAGAAATGGGGGTGGTGGTAAGAATAGTTCCTTGATTTAAAGGCTGTATCTTGCCTTTGAATGAGTTATGGTGAGCTTTGCTCTCCCCATGAAGGGTTTTTGTTTTGCTTTGTTTCTGGAGAGTGGCAAAATAGGGTTTAGAAGGTACTTTATTAAGGGAGATGATGCACACTTTTGGCAGTTGAGTGCAGTCTGTTTCTCATGTTGCTCTGTAATTGAGAGGCATGTTAATAACCTCATTAAAGACATTTTGCTGCCTCTTGTTTAAATGCTCAGCTGTTCTGGTGCCCGTTATTTCCCCCAGGCAGCCAGTGACTGACTGGAGTCAGCAGGTTTTTATGGCATTAACAGCAGTCTGCTCTTTTATTTTTAATGTGATTCCTAATCCACCCTCCACCCTCCCCTTTTTTTTGTAGGTTTGTGCAACTGAGAATAGTCTGGCATTCCGTTCCTCTCCTGCTGAAGATGACTCCCGTAAGCATTTGTTCTTAGAGCTTGGAGGTGAAGGTCCTCATTCCCCATCCTGTATTTGGTTCAGGAGTGTCCCCATTACTTTTGATTCAGGAGTGTCCCCATTACTGTCACTGCTGAGAAAGTAACATATTAAATCCAGCAATATAGCTCATTAAATCCTTTACTTGAGTTTAAGTACTGATACTTGAATACCCTTCACACCTTTCATTGCTTAGGGAGAAGTTAAGTTCAATTAAATATGATTGACTTGGGGGAAAATGAATACTTTTGATGCTACTGTCATTGAACTTATGCTAACTTTTGTACCAGATACTTTCAGGGTTAAAGCTGTATAAATAATTGTGAAGTTTTATTTTAATAGAGGTTTGGGTAAGAAGGATTTTATTCACTTACAGGGATAAAGAATTGGGATTTGAGGAACCTTCTAAAAATATCTTTTTCCTACTCATCTAACTATTTACTCTGCTTTCTAGCCTTTGTCTAGGAATTTTCTTGCTGAAAGAATACCATGCTGGATTTTGTCACCTTTTCATCCTATTTTAGAATCATTCTGAGCGTCATTTCTCCCAAAGACAAAAACCTCTGGTCTTTACTATGCCCCCGTTTGATTCTGATTTTCAGTGTATTGTTTAGAAATATTTTTATAGATTGTGAGTCATTCCCCAGGCTAGTTTACTAGACAGTAAGAACTCCATAACTGAAATAGAAGTATGAACTAAGAGGTCTGTAGTAAACTGTATCTTAAAATTGCAGAGAAAAACTTGCCTGCCTGAATCCAAGAACATCCTTTTGTAATTATTTCTCTTGGACTAGAAATGTTTCTGAGTTTTTACTAAGTTTGCAAAATGGTTTTTGAAAAATAAGCCTGAATCTTTTAGTATTTCATTGACTCACCTCTAGATGTTAAGGAATTTTTATGGTTCCTCAGTGGCTGTGTGAATCACTTTTCTGTGCCTTGTCTTAATTCTGTAGGATGAATATGTTAACAGGAAATCAACTCATGCAGGTGGCATTTCAGTGATAATGGCGGGGG